TGGTGCCCCGCACTGCAGCCACTCACAGCCCACCTGGGGCTGCCTGTGCCTGCTCAGGACAGCCCTGCACGGGCTGCAGCCAGGAGCGCCGGCCATGGGGTGGGGGAGGGGCCACTTTTCCCCGGGTTCCTTCCCTGCCTGGGGTCCCCCCCCACTTACCTGAGGTTCTGGCGCGGTGCGCTCACATGGTCCCAGGCTGGGGGGGCTGGGCCAGGGGGGCCTTGTTGTTGCGGGAACCCGCCAGGCTTCCCCTGGGTCCTACTGCCCTTGGTTTCTGTCATTTTTGACAGGAACCAAGTACAGATAAATATTAATTTTCTAAATTTTTTAGGGGCTCCGCGAGTCGGATAGAATGGCCTCGAGGGCCAGATCCAGCCCGCGGGCCATATTTTGCCCACCCCTGTCATATCCATTGCTCCCTGCCTAGGAATAATTGACAATAAATTCAGAAGGCCAAAGGGCATTACCAGGAACATCAAAGCTCAAATGAGACATACCCCAAGCTATATGCAAATAAGGCTTATTTTTATTAGAAAATTAAGTATTCTTACATCATGACCATAAGCTATTGTATTAATTAACATGACAACCATGTTGCAAATTTAGTGGATTCATCCTGAGGAACAAGACTTTTGCTGCTGAAAATTAAAAAAGAAAAACCTTGGTACTGTAAGAATTAGGTTGGTTGTACTAACTGTAGTATAAGAGCTAAATACAGTGGCTGTGGCTCTCTGTATTATATTAATGTAAAACATAGCCAACTCCATTAAATTCTGTAGATTACCACCAGTGTGAAACTTTTGTGAGATCAGAACTCAATCTGGTGGAAGCAGCTTAACTGCCTTTATTAGGCTTGCTATATTATTTACAAAATCAATAAAGATATATTTAATAGGGGGGAAATGCCTTTACATAAACAGTGTTTGGCTTCTAACCTCTCTTTTCTTTGCTTTTTTTAACAGAGTGGTCAGGCATATTATGTACATGATGGCGAGAATGTCGTGTTTTTTGAATGGATAGCTCCATTAGTATGTATTATACCCGTCTACTTACATGTGGGACTTGAGCATATAACTAATCTAGAGGGGATTCAGCGCTAAGCAAGTGCTGAAAATCAACATCTTGTTTATATATTTATTTGTTAGATTAGAATTATATTATGTTCTCCTCATGCACCCAAAACTTCCACTGGCTTCAGCGCTTTAGGCATGCGTTATTAAGGTCAGTGGAGAATCATGCCCTTAAAGTTTCTTTTAAACCTACAACAGAAACAGCATGAAATTCTCATAACTAGCAGATCTGGAGTTTAGCAACTGTCCTACTGTCCCTGCAATACACACAGGTGAAATTCACTGAAAGCAATGCAACAAGATTGTACTGAAGGAATAAGAAATCCTCTCTTTTCATGTCACTGTTATTTGGAAATAGCATCACCTCTACTGGTGTCACCTGTGTTTGTGGCAAAGGTTTCAGTTAGAAAAACTAAAATAAGGGCCGTAGTAAGATGAATTGGAAAAAAAGTTCAAATGTATTATTTAACAATAATCTTGCTGTACTAACATCCATCAATTTGATATTAATTCCTTTTTCTTACTCTCTTTTTCTTTTAAATCCCTTCCAGTTTGAAAAATTAGGTCACAATAAACCATGGATTCATGTTCCTGTTTTCCTTGTTTATATAGCAGGTAAAATAGTAAAATACCTTAGAGCAGGGCTCCCTCTCCCTTCTCTTTCCAGAGGTCAGTGTGGTGCAATGCAGCACAGCCTGCAGTGCCAGAGGAGCCCATGGCTTGGTGCAGAGGAGGGTCCACAGCCAAGGAGGCAGGGAGGGGGTAGAGGGAGGATGCCCGTTGGCCTGCTTGCACAGTGCAGCAGTGGGGGTGCTGCCCACCTGCACACACAGTGCAACAGTGGTAAGGAGCCACCCATCTACACAGTGCCAAGGGAGCTTGCAGACAGGGAGGTGGGGTGGGGGAGGATGGCCCCAATGGTGTGGCGCCAATGGTGTGTGCGCCTTACTGGCAAAGAAGTTGGACAGCACTACCTTAGATTATTGTGCTCTATTAGTTGCATTTCAGCTTTTATTTCTGCTGCTGTTAACAGTAATCTGCCTAACAGTTTTGCAATCTTTAGCGTTTCCCTTTGTTTAACTCCTACACAACTGTTGTATATTTTGTACCATTTGGAATTGTCTCCTATCAGTGGAAGTGCAAGCTGTCACTGAGTTAATTATATGCTTTGTTAATTACATGGTGTTGTCAAAGCATCTGATCCTGCCTCTGTAGAAAGCCCACAACAACCTAGGGTGTCAGTGTGGGAGTATTGGGCATGTAGCAAAATGTAGGATATTGCACACAACAGCTATCATCACCCAGTTGCTCTCACTTTGCTGTTATTGCTCTAATAAGGTAACTTTCTGTTGTATAGCTGTAGTGATGGAGTATCTGCACCTGGCACTGAAACCCATATTTCATTTTACACCTGTCTTTACCAGAAATGAGGTAAATGTCTAAGTGTATACATAAACAGTTTTTTTTAACTTTCTGACCAATTTCCCAGGAAACATATGATATCAGTAGGACACCTTCTCTGGGTAGAGGCCAGAGGGTGGAAACATATAAAGTAGATAGAGAAGAGTTCCACTTTTCTCTGCAAGACCAACCCCCTCTGTGACACCAGTTTTCTACCCCATTTTTTACAGAACTAATAATTGGGACTTGGAAATTAGACTGGGTTGTGGGGGTGAAGATTCACTTTTCAATATAGGGATTGCAAGGAGAATTTTTTATGTTATATTTTCTTATTTTCATATTTTACTCTGTTTTTGTAAGTTTTTTGTCTTTTGTTATAAGCTACCCTGCTAAGTCTGTTTTCTGGAAGGGCAGCATAGAACTGTAATAAATTGATAAATTCAGCCCCCTTTGGGGGCAGATACCCAAAGGCAGTACCAGAGACTAGAAGTGAAACTGAACAAAAAATCTAACAGTCATCTGATTTTTTTTTTTTAATAAACAGTTGTGTACTGTGGAACTGCTTATGAAATGGAGGTTCTTAAAACAGCTTAAGTGCAAGTATCCATGCTGGCAGGGGTAGATCCAGGATTTTGGAAACAGGGGTGCAGGAGTAGTGACCTGTGCTGCTGTGGTGGCTGCACCCCAGCTCCCAGCCTCCCCCTAACATTAGGGTGAGCAGAATGCCATAGGAACAACAGTGGGGAATTATTTTTAAGTCCCTCAAGCCAGGTAAGTGTCTTCCCTCCCCCTTCCCTTCCCTTCCTGCTCAGCAGCACATCTTGCCCTCCTCCCCTACCTGCTTCTGTTGCTGTCCCCAGATGACCAGCAAAGGTCGCTCCAGAGCCACTCATGACTTACTGCAGCCAGACTGCCTGTGGAGCTAGGTTTGGTTAGAAACAGCAGCAGTAATAGCAGTGGCAGTAGGCAAGTTCTCTTCCCTCCCGCCTGCTCCTAGGCTAGCAGGGGAACCAGGTAGGGAGAAGGGACACACCCACTGCTGCTGCTGTCTCTGGCTGACCCCAGCTCCACGCAGAGCCCAGCTGGAATGGGTAACAGCAGTTGTGGAGCTCCCACCTCCACCCCTACCCCTGCCCCTGAGGCAGCCAGAGACGGCAACAGCCATGGGCAGGATAAAAGGGGAAGGCGCCGTTGAGCACAGAGGCTTCAGGAACTGAAAAAAAGTCCCCTGCTGTTGTTCCCATGGAATGGTGGACTGAAAGGGGGGTACATCTGTGCCATAGCACCCCTCATGGATCCACCTGTGCATAGCAATGGGACAGGAACAAAAGCAGTCTCAAAACCAGGATGATCAGCAGACACCATGAGAGAGAGCTGGTCAAAGCTCAGAAAGTCTCATATTTCACTTTGTTTTTATTCCAAATTAAAATTAAAAGTCAGTGTATCCTGCAAAAGGTCCTTTGATCTCATTTCTACTTTTAAGTTTATTTTATTTATACCACATTATAACAGTTATTGGTTATTTCTTGCTCCTTTGTCTAGCTTCCACAAAGTTCTTCTGTGTACTCAATTGGTGAATATATGTTACAAGCCCAGTTTGTGAGCAGTCCATAAAGGATATGAGCTGTTATAGCCTCAAGCTTACAGAATCTTGGCTGTTTAGCTTAAGCTGTAACAACTCATACCTTAAACTGTGGACAGCTGTGGTGCTGGCCAAGAGGTAGTTCTCACATCTGCTGCATGGTACAGTCTGGTCCTAAATAATGTTTTCTTCTGTTGAGATTCTGCTCTTGATTCTTGGTTTTTACTCCATGGTGCCACCTACACCATTATGTTTTGTTCAAATTATAAATCATGAACAACTTAATTTGCTGTTCTTTTCTTTTTTAGGTGTGGAATATTGCTGTCACTCACACTTACCGAATAGACAAGGCACGTAGTCAATTAGGTTACTACCCAAAGAAATTCAAATTTGCTGATTGTGTGGATCAATATCTTAAGACAAGACCCAAGCGTCGGGATAACTACATGTTATTTAAAGTCCTGCTTGCCTTTTGCATCTTGTGTTTGAGCTTACTTTGTTTCTTTTTTTAAGAGCAAAGTTACCCACTTACTGAAGGAAAGCCACTGTTTACTGATCTACCATATATATTAATATTCCTAAGTATTAATAAGTCTCAGATCCAACAAGAGGCTTGTATATAGTGGCTACATCTACATGTGTGCTATAATGCACGCTAGCCTAATGCACATTAAAGTGTCGCTTAAAAAACTATGCTCTTACTCTAATGTTCAATAAAATAGGCTGCTGTCCATTAAACGACACTGAAAAAATGTGCACTTTTGTTACTGCGCATTAAGATAACCTGATGCGCATTTGTTTAGTACTTCACGCTGGAGGTACTAAATGTAATGTGCATTAGGAAAAGCACCTTAATGCATGTGTAGATGTACCCAGTGACACTCAATATTGGCATGCCTAAAATTATAGGATGCTGGCGCTCAAAATGGAATATGCATACCTAAGCTGAGCACCTACGTTCCTCATAGAGCCAGAGTCAGCAATCTTTAAGGATCAGTGGACCAAAATAAGGCAGCTGTGTCCAAAGGTAGGCCACTTACTGCTTCCCCTGGCACCATTTCAAGCCATCAAGCACTCCAAGAGGGTTATTGCATTTCTCCTAGTCTTGGATGCCTAGGTGCCAGTTAGAGGTAAGGGCCTATATGAAACTGGATACACAGCTTTAGACTGCTTTCTTCAACCTTTAAGGAGCAGTGGACCAAAATAAGGCAGCTAGATCCAAAGGTAGGCCACTTACTGCTTCCCCAGACACTACTCCAAGCCACCTGCTCTCACCCCAGTCCTTCCTGCTCCATGCCAAGGACTGCTCTCTTACTCTCACGTCCCCCTACTACAGCTGCTTCCTCCCTTACCCATTACCACTAATTTCTGTCACCACCATTTGTCACTAGTGACTAATTTCACAGCAAGAGATGAGGGCTGGGGAGGCAGCAGACAGTACTACAGAAACATTTTGGAGCCAGAGGAATTCAGAGAGCAGGGTATCAAAAAAAAAATCACCAGACTGAGCTGCACTGCAGCCAGACTAGATGCAGTCACTTGGTAGACTGAATCTGGCCCGTGGGCCGTAAATTGCTGATCCCTGCAATAAATTATATGGGGAAAGTTAGGTGCTTAGGAATGAGACTCAGAAATCGGCATGCTGAGCAAAGGGGTGCTACACTAGCCAATAGAAAATGCTAAGGGGAGGTTGTTTGCATCCCTTCCAGTCTTGGGTGCCTAGGTGCCAGTTAGAGGCAAGGACCTATGTGAAACTGGATATATGGCCTGAGACTGCTTTCTTCACTTAGACACTGAAGATACACAGGAGCTAGCTTACTTGTTTACTTTAAGATATGACTGGAGGAAGAGATAAAGGTGTGCACTTTTCCTAGAAGAGTCTGGTGGACAAAGTACTCCTCCAGGAAGGGGGAAGTTTGTTTTGTAGGACTTTTTTAGCCTGGGCTGGTTCAAACATACATCTCACAATTCCCAGGATAGTGCCCTCCTTCCTTTTGCATTAAAGAGCCAATGAATAAAATAGATAAAAACACTGGGGGCTGGAAACACAACCGAGGACTCCCAGCTAGAGTCAGCTCCGGCTTGCTTGTTCTTTGACCCCATGAATCCTGTGTTTCTTTCTATACAGAGGCCCAGTTTCAACAGAAGGATAGAGTGTGCCCCCAACTTCACTTCTTTTAGGTAGGTTTTTTTAGGAGGTAGAAGACAGCCCAAAGGGAGTCTACAACTCAAGCCGTCTGCTTTCTGGGTGAATGATCTCTGCCACCATAAAAGAGTAGGTACTAGTGATACCTCCTCCTCCAACTGTGTTTTATGAATGGAATCAATTTATTTAAATTGGTGACAAAAACTGGAACCCATCTACCTGCTCTTGCTTTTTACCTACTGAACTCAGAGCTGAGATGGTGAGGGCACTCCAGGGATTTCCCTCACATGCTAGAGATGCAGCATTTGAGGAATGACAGCAGGGACCTTCCCAGAGCTGCTCAGTTCTGGGTTTGGAGAATGCAGAGCAGATCAGGTAGGCAAAGGTTATCTTTCAGGAGCACAAGAGTGCTGTGAAGTAGTGCAGACATGACTTTCAGTGCCTAAATTCCACCAAAATTGCACTTTGGGAAACCCAAGTTGTCTTTATTTTTGGACCAAACTGATTTGCAGTTAGTTACAGCATGCTCCTCAACCCTTGCAGATTGCACTATTCTTTTTAACGAGTTATTTTTTAATAATGTATTATACACACTTATTTTTATTTATTACATTGTTACACAAATATTAAAAAACATAGTACATCAATAACTGTTCTTAAAAGTTAAAGTTGGTCATCAGGCCAGCAGATCAATAATGACATATGCAGGAAGAGAGATATTAAATTTATGTTTCATGCCAAATGTATTTCTTCTGAAAATGGTTGCTTAAGTGGATAAGCAATTGGAGAAAGAAGAACTATAAAAGGTCTGCAGTTTTGTATAAACAGAAAAGGAGGTGGAGTCAGGCAATGCTTCTAATTTAGCTGCTGCCGTAACCATCGCATGTTACTATGAAAAATACAGTGGATCTGGGAAACTGAAGAAGAAAGCTGAAACAAAGGATTCATATAAATAGTGATCAGTGAATGTACAGAAAAGTTGAATTACTGTGAATAAGCTGTTTTGTGAACCTAAATGAGAGGTGAAATAAAAACGTATATGTGCTTGTAAATGTACAGTGCAACTTTAATGCAATAACAGAAAATAATTAATCTCACTCTACTTTTCAAGCATTCCTCTATCTAAATCAAGGAAGGCAAAGCTTAACATTCCTGATATGTCTCAGCTTAGAAGCTGGAACAATAACCTGGAAAGAGAGAGTTTGGTTTCACTTATTGTTCCCTAAAGGACAACTATTCCTTCAGCTTTTCCTTGTAAAGGAACTAAACCTATTTGCTACCTACAAAGAATCCACAAAACTGTACCTAGTACTAATATCTTAAATTAACTTCAAGGAACCCCCCAGCATGAAGTCCCTACATGGTCGTAAACAGAGTACACAACCCTGAGTTACTGGTATCCCCTTTCTAGGATTTGGCTTTATTGGAAATTCAAAAAACAACAAAATATGAATTTCCAATTACTTTTCCCACACAAGCTTAACTGCCTTTAGGCTGTCACTCACCAGAAAGTAATTTCTACCACTTGTATCTGGAGTGGAACTGTGGAACTGGACCTGAACCTGTCATGATGATTCAGCAGCAGTTCTAACACCTGCTAACAACATGGGTCAATAGGAGAGCCCTGTCACTTGGTTTCATCCATCAAGCAAATACCTTTTTCTCTTTTTTCTCAGGGCTTTAGGAACAACAAAAATTAACAGAAGGCTTTTCAGCATGCTTTCTAATTCACATTGCCTCCCTAGGACAACTAACTCCTTTGCTGCAACAACAACAACAAAAACCAATATTATACATCATTAGTTATTAATAAAAATAGTCCCATGACAAGGTGTGCAATAGCCACTTCAAAAAGCAATGCTACCTCAGATAACACCGGCAGAAACTTGTTCTGTCTCTTAAGAAATATAGGAGCAGAAAATTATGCAATATAACTTTAGACATATTAACCCCCCTTTGTGAACAGAAGTAGTTTATGCAACGGTTATTGTTTATGTTAATGTGTTATAGTTATTAATCCAGTTATTACAAAAGGTTGGAAACTATGAGAACTGCCAGATGAAATGCCAGATCTTCATTTTTAGCATTTTGCAAGCAAAACATCTTTCTACATACAGAAATTTAGCAATATACTTAACAATAGCCTCAGTTAATTTCCATTTCTTTTTAATCAATATACAGTATTTAAAAAGAGATGGTTGGTTTTAGCTACCAATTTAGATGAGCAATTGCCTAATTGTTGTACTCTGATACTCTTTACCGAGTTGACACCTTTGCCCACGATTTACTATCACTAGGAGTACTGGCACCCTACGTACATCATAGCTATGTTTTAAAAATTATTAAAACTTTACTATAAAAAATAGGTGCAGTGCTGCCAGGATGATGATACTAAAGATGAGAATACATTTACACAACATGCGATGAACTGAAAATCAGTCTCAAAAGACCTTGCTTTTTGTTTTACGGAAAGGAGTTCTGCACGGATTGCTCATTGTCTTTACAAAGCACTGGAAATTCAGATACCGATTAGACTTTCTTTTACATATGTATTATTTTAAATGGATGCATAACAAACGTACTGTCACTGAATATCTTTTAAGTGCCTATTCTCTCTACTTATTTGCTCCTAAAATTACGGGTTTTGCTTGCTGTGTTTCAGAAACATTTCGCACGGTTTTTTGAGCCTTTTGTAGTGATAACCACATGGCAATCACTTGGGGTGGGGGGGCTTTCCATAGATCACTTCTCCAGAGTGGGGCACAGCTCTGTGTAGTTCTGTTGCAGACACTACGGTAGAAGTCCCTTGTGAAAATGATTACGATATTAAAAACAAAAACAACAATCCGGTATTCCTAGTTCCAGGTGCCTAAAATCTAGTCATTCTGCTGGAGCCTCCCCTCCCTGCTCCCGGGAGCTCGGGGCGAGCGCCTCTCTCTCTCTCTCTTCGGAAGCCGAGAGCAGAAGTGCAGTGCTCTGCAACTGACGTCAATACGGCGCGGTAGGTAAGTAGGTAAGCGGAGTGGCCACGCGGTGCGCGCGGTGCCTTGCTCGCCAGCCCCGGCGGACGCTCCCCGCTCCCCGGGCCATGGGCCGTGCAAAGACCCCGAAGATCTGAGCTGGTCTGGGGATGATGCGTTGCTGGGGACGCTTTGTGCCAGTCGACATCCAGAGAAAAGAGCTGAGCACCCCCGCAGGCGGGCCAGGAGCAGCCGGGACCAGTGACCTGCACCCCCACACCTCGGAGCCTGCCCAGGGTAATCGCCCCTGCTTCCCGGCCGCTCCCCAAGGCTTGATGGTGCCCGGGCGCGCTCAGATACTTTCTAACTTTTTTTGTGTTGTTTTGTTCCTCTATCACCTGCTGTTTGCAAAAATACCCGGGGTTTTTTTGTCCTTGCAAAATAGGCAGCCAAAATGCTCGGGTGGGAGGGGAAGAGGGGTAGGAAGGCACTAGGTCCTGCGCCTGAGCGTGGGCATCAGTTATCCTTGCCCAGGGCGGGTGGATGCCCTCGGGAGCTGATGGATGCACTTCGCGTGGTCACTTCCCTGGAGCGAGAGAAAAATCCTGCCGGATACATTTAGGTCCGTGGGGCTGGGAAAAGAAAGGGGCGTTTGGAGCAGCTCTTCGCACCCAGGCAACCTGCGTTTTTCAAACCGGGGGAACCAAGCTGCAGCCCCAAGGTCAGAGACCACCTGTCCTGGACGTGTGTAACTGGCCCAGCAAAGTGTCAGGGCCAATGTGCCAGGCCATCCCCCGGGAGGCACAAAAGTGACTCAAGTCGGTAGATGATGCTGAACAGCGTGACAGCCGGTAAACGGTTGTTTAATGGCCCTTCCCTGGTGATGGAAGGGACTAAGGATTGTCTTGTCTTGTCTTGTCTTTTTTTTCCTGTCTTCTTCTAATATCTCAGTACCATTTTCATTTTAGCATTTTCCGGATGTGAAATCCGCAAACACAAAACGTCAAAGTTTTCTGCGTCCGTTTCTTAAATATAAAAGTACTGCAAATATCCTAGTGAAAGGTCCTAAGGGTGTACAACTGTGTACAGCTCTCATTCTCCCCGAATTGTAATCAGTTGTTTACCATTACACTGAATAGCAAGAGAGATTGACCAAAGATAGTTATTCATAAAACTCTGGTGGATAAAGACAGCTAAAGCAAAAGTCATAACTATTTTATTTGGCAGTGTATTCATTTAAGTTTTCAGTCCTCCAGGCAGCTGGCCCAGAATTCCAGGTAACTGCATCAACTGCCAGCGACACTTGCCTTTTAAACTGTAACATTCTACAAGACAGATGAAATTAGACCTCAGAGGCATCCAATCCGAATGCTTTAATGTGCCAATGTAATGTTTCTGGTTAACTTTGCTTGTCTCTACTATTTTTGATTACTTAGAAAGTAAATTATAGAAATTAGAATTGGAAATGTAGGTCTCTCTTCTCCAGTTCATCACCCCTGGCAATGCAGGATCGTTCTGTGTAATACATTCTTAAGTACCACAACCCAGTCCTTATTTAAATGATTCAGCAATGAAGCTGTCATAATTTCCCTAGTAAACCTGTTCTACAGCAAATAGGCTTTATTTAAAACTCTTTTATGCTTTTCACCTCGGTAATGTTGCTCAACCTAACTCTCCTATTTCTAGAAATATACCCTTAGATCAGTCTAAACTTTGCTTTTATGGCAATATGCCTCACCCGTGAACATCTCAGAACTCAGATTCTAAGAAAAATGACACGTGATATATGGAAAGTGAGTGTTTTCTAATAATTAGGACCTAGGATTGCTGATGAGAAGTTCTGAAATTTACTCCCTTCTCTTACCATTCACTATGTGACCTCATCACATGACTTCACCTGTCTGCCTCCGCTTCTTCTGATATAGAAAGCAGTAACATCCCTATCTGTAAAGTTATGAAGATGTTTGCAACTAATCCTTGTGCGATACATTAAAATCCTCAGATGGCAAGGACAACAGAAGTGTAAAAAATTACTGTTAATTCATATTACATTTTCAAAACCGTTCTTTAAGGAGCAGGTAAATATTTTAATGGATGTAGAGTTCCTTTTGAATCTGTATTTGAGATAAACTGATGATGGATTATTTGATTTGGTTGCTTAGATTCCTGGCATCATGTATCCTGCATTTTTCTTTGTAAGAAACTACACATTGTTATACAACAGATAACCAGCCTTTATAGAAAATCTCTTCTAAGTTTCTAACATTTTAAAGGAGATCATACAGTTTTAATTGTAGCAATTATGACTGATCTGCAAGTGGGATTCCTCACCAGCTTCTAAATAATATAAACCATTAATGTTCTATAAATATAAAGTGAAATTAAATGGATCGCCTCAATAATAATCACCATAATAATCGTAACTGCTTAGAATCCATATAGTGGTTTGAATTTAAGCATGTACAGACATCAGCTACTCAGTACCATTTACTTATAGAACAGAAAATACAATCTTATTTCATCAGAATGATTTATTATTTTACTTTCTTAATAAATATATGTATATTTTTCACTCCCTCTCTCTGCAGTAATATTTTTAGTTGCCCTGAGAAGCAACAGATTGACATATTTGTCTTGCATTATCTACAACAGCCCACAGCTTACCAGTGGACATCAGAACCTTCTAGTGGTGGGCCACAAGGGCAGATAAAAGGGAGTAGTTAGTGAGGTTAGCATACCCTTCCCCCAAAACACTGCCACAGTGCCAGGCAGCATCATAGTGAGCTGCCATGCTGCATCACACGTGCTCTGTCTTGAACCAGAAGCAAATTAACTGCAGAATTTGTAGGTAGGCTAATTAATGTTGTACATGTTTGCATTGCTTCTGGGTCCAGCAATAGTACCAGCAAAGCTGTGTGAAATACCTCTGCATGGCACCAGTGTCACCATATGTAGTGCCAGGCGGTTAGCTGAGCCAGTTCTGTGCAGGCCATCCTATGCACAGAAACAGTGCAACCATGTTCCCACAGTGCTGTACCCAAATCAGTTAGCCTACCTTAAACACTGCACTTATGCAGTTACACTACATCACTTCCAATCTGGCTAGACCAGTTTAGGTTGCAGCTGTATCTCTTCCAGTTCTCCAAGCCACTGTGATATCTCACAGCACTTTGTGGAATCAAAGAAGTTGAAAACCATTGATCTAAAATACGGTCATTTAATAGGAAGCAGCAATGCAAGCTTCCTCATAATATCTCAGTCCCAGCCACCACCAATGTTTAAAGCATGAACACATTTTCAGTGTTTATTCAGCTGCTGATTTTTATTTTTTTATTGTTTGTAATGTGGGGCAAAACCAAACTCTTTTTTTCAAATTGTTCTGAGTGTATATCAGAGAGATTAGGTAGGTATTACTAATTGTTTTAGGCAAAGTTCTGTCTTCTTCTTTACATTTTGTAGAAATTAAACATTTTTGTTCCTTCAAATATGACCCTGGCAGTTCAGGATTCCAAATCCCTGGGTGACAAGCTATTTGAGCTTCAAAAGCAGACATATAACACCAAGAACTAAACTGAAGCCATCAGGAAACCAAACAAGTAATTTATGTCATGATAAATTTTACTCTCAACTATTATTCTATTTTAAGCTAGCATGCAGAACACGTCCGTGCACCCATGAAATGTGGACATTTCTTATGTTCTTTATAAAAATTTATTTTCCCCTCTCATGCTGCAGGTTGCTATCTAGAAATGACCAGTTGAATATACGCAAAGATATTTAGGTGTATTGAGGTTGCTATCTTTAATAAAGAAAATGTACACCAAAAACTTAAATTTCTCAAATACAATGACAGCACGTACTGTTTACCAAACATGAACCTTTTTTTTATGTTTAAGAGAAACATAGAACAAAAACAAATCCAAAATCAAAAACCCTAAAGAGTGAGCCTTTTTAGTCTTGTTGTTTGGAAATCTGAAGCTAATATTGTGATTTATCTTTTGAACAGGTTAAAGGAAAACTTTGCAGTCCTGAATGGAGCTTTTTAATATGAAAAATAATGGAATTATCTGCACCCCAAAGCACTATGGAGCAATTTTCAGCATGGGAAAGAAATTGTGTTGTGTGTCTGGTGATAGAAAATGGTCTCTCATTTTGTAGGCATGACACAAAATATATACCTAATGGGGTAGTACCCCCCTGGCGCCAAACATCTACTTATAATCTGAATGGACACGCTGGAGTTCTAAGTAAAAGAAGTATGAAGGCAGTAGTGACAGGAGGTGGAGGCTACTTTGGATACAGTCTGGGTTGTGCTCTTGCCAAATCAGGAGCCTCAGTTATCCTGTATGATATACAAAAACCTCCTTCAGAAGTTCCTAATGGAGCAGCGTTTATTCAGGTATGATCAAAAATATGTTTTCACAACTATAAAATTAAATTAATCTCTTTGAAATTAAGTGAATCTATCTCAGCAACACAATTTTCATAGAATCTACCCAATCATATATAATGTACAGGATCTTATAAAAGTAAGGTTCTTCCATCATTTTTATAGCACTTTCATCAATCGAACTGTAAAAAGTATCTGAGCTAAACAGAGGGAAGAAATTAAGTGAAATCTGGTGGCTAGAACCAAGGGTTCCTGCAGCAAACTCCTAACTCTAAACATTTTTTCTTGCAACTTTGAACAAGTCACTTCACCTGCCTGTTCCCTGGTCAAATCATTATGATACTACTTTCCTATTTTACAGCGGTATCCTGAGACTTAAGGAATTCAGTGTTTTTTAAGTCCCTTGAAAGAAAGCTCTTTACAAGGGGAGTGATTTTCATCCCTTGGCCTCCACAAGGTTATGCACAACTAAGTTCACGAATACTCTGTGCAATTATCACCAAACGACAAATTCTAAAGTACAGTTTTGAAACCAACTATAAAATATCTTTTCATGTGTTTTACAGGCAGATGTGAGAAATTATGATGCCCTATTTGCAGCTTGTGAGGGGGCTGACTGTGTGTTTCACATAGCATCCTATGGAATGTCAGGACTAGAACAAGTGAGTATAACTTTCTTATGTTCTTCTACATGAATTCTTGTAAGATTAAGCTAGGACCTGAGTCTAGTTGTCAGAACATGATGTGTCGGATTTCTTTCTTTTTAGACATTCTGAGAGCCATAATAAAAAGACTTTCTGTTCTTGATTTTTTTTCTTTATACTTTTGGTTTAAAATAAGAATCACACACACTTTAAAATGAAAGTAATGTTTCAGATCATGAAAATCAAAAGGGGTCATTAAACATTAGAGGTAAATTCTTATCCCAGTGCACAGGCCTCCCAGTAACCAGGCTATTTTCTTAAGTCCGTCTCATCAGGTATACCAGTTTTCTACTCATAACCCACCCCTTTCCGTACTCTTGAGACTGAATTTCACTTGCTTATTCCTACCCATGTCCCGACATCAGCCACACACTAGGAAATCCAAGTCCAGTTCTGAGGAAAAAAGCCAGAAAGCAGGGTGTCATCTACATATGGGTGACAGTATATCTTAAACTTGTTTTGCATTCTCCCAGACATTGAAAAGAAACTGTAGCAAAGCTGAACCTTGCAGATCCCTACATAAATGGTCCATTGGGACCGCAATTGTCTAATACTTCCCTTTGCAACCTTCCAGAGAGGTAGGAATGAACCCACTCGAGAATACCATCCTTCCAACTAAGGTCTGAAGGTGAGTTAACAACACTTGCTGCTAAACAATATTAAAGGCTGTTCTCAAATCTAAATGTATCAGCACATCTGACCTTGTTCCAACACTTGTAGGTCATCAAACTGCAAGACCAATGCCATACAAGGATTCCAGTTGGCTATAGAGTTGTCTTGCCACAGTCTTCTCAACAAATTCCCAGAAAAGGAAGATTAGTGAGCAGTAAACTCAGATATACTGAAGCCTTACTTATACTAATACTATGCAATTAAATTCTCAAGTCATCTCAGTGAATTGCTGTGCCAAAAATGTTATTATACTGAATCTGTGCATGTAATAACTATATTACTGGTGATGAGAAAGTGATTCCATTATCAGTCTCCAATCACAGCCTCCAAAGGACCTTTAACTAGGAAGGGTGGGTATAGAGCTGTATAGTGATTAGAAAACAGGACTGAGAGACAGGAGAGTATGGTTGAGTTCCCAGTTCTGCCACCTGTTTATTCAGTGCATGACTTTGGACAAGTCATTTCACCTCTTTCTTCCTCAGTTTCCCCCTTTAATGAAAGTGCGATGAATTTAAGCCTCACAGAACACATATGAGAATCCTATTCATTTACATCCTGGTCCCACAGAGTATATCAAAGTCAAAGGTCTATTCAGACCTATTGGGCTAGCATGGTAAAGGTATGCCAGTTTCTATAGCCAAAAGCACACAGGGGAGCAATGTTGGTAACATCACATCTGGTCATCTTTGACTCTCCAGCCCAAATGACCAGCTCCTCATTTACAGCTGAGTGGACTGAGGATAGCCTTTGGCATGCATTCAGAGCAGGTCTTGAAGTCATGCCTCTGGAGCTGCAGTGAAACACCTTACCTACTATACTACTATATACTGCTATAACACCTCAGTACAGCACATGTTATAACTATATTTGAGTCTTATTCCACAATCCCTGAAACTTCCCCTGAAACTATACATGCCCCAGTTTATATATACACAAATACTCCCGCTATGATTTTTTTCATAGAACTGAAGCCTGTATTAAATTACTACAACAACTGTATCATTTGAATTCTCCACAATTAGTTGGTAAACTGTGGTCAAAATTAACATCACTTTTTGTGGTAGATAGCTGTTAAAAATTAAATGTTAAAAGAAAGAACTCCTTAATGAAATAAAGCACATCAGTTAAAATAATGGTAATTATCACAGCTAGATTGTCAAATTATTTTTGTGACTGATCTGCAAAAAAAAAAAAAAAAAAATCACTGAATTCCTAGGGACACCACTAAGATATGTACATTAAAAATATATAAAGTCACCAAGGATCTGTTATCAAAAACACCACCACTCATTTTTCTTCAGGTTCATCAGCTCTTAGAATCAAATAAAAAAATGAGTGTATTTTGCAAAAAAACAGCCTTACTTTGTGACATCTCAGTGAGCAAACGGAACAAGGGATGTGTGGGGAGCAGGAGGGGAAAGCAAACAGTGGGTTGGATGTTGCTATTTAGTTTTTGACATTTACAACAGTCATCTAGTGAATGTAAAGTATGACATTATTCAGATACTGTGCAATATTTATATTTTTATAGCTACAAAGAAAACAGGTTGAATCCATAAATATTGGTGGAACAAAATTCATCATTGATGGTACGTATCTGAACCTGTTTTTGTGTATTGGTACAACAAGGTAACATTCTATTTGGTAAGAGGAAAAGATTTTAGGGGAAGATATCTTTTATTAGACCAACTGCTTTTCTGGGATGAAGTTAGACAAGCTTTCAAATGCAAGGCATTCTTTAAACTAGTTTTGCTATATATTTTATATAGAAAATGACCCTCCCCACTTTTTTTCTTTGCGCATAGGATTAGGAATCGGGACCCCTACATATTATGCCTCACTCTTCCACAGGTTTTTACAGAACTCATGTAGAATTTTCTCACAGCATGTAGCCTGGGCAGCTGGGTTGGATACTGGAGAGCTCTGCAGGGGCAAGTAGGAGGAAACAAAGGCACTTGACCTTAAGGTGTCTCTGTCCTGCTGTCTCCTTCACCCTCTCCTATATATAAAGGTGGATATTCTAATAGAGCCCCTATCCCTGCACCAGTAGCACCCTATGACATCCCTGAACAGCCTTCACAAAGTCACCAGCATCGGTTCACAACAGAACCATCATATTAAACTCAGTTATTTTCCTTATAAATTAAATTAGTGTAATAATACCTTCCTATAGCACATAAAAATCCTTGAAGTATATAACAATTATAACATATAGAAAGTGGTCTATGAACACAAGGATTATTATTATTATCTCTTTATCCTTTTAAGACAGCAGCAGGGAAAAGGAAAAAAATATTCCTTTTATTTTCCTTTGTGCCTCCCAAACCCTCACGCAATCAAATTAACTTTTGTCTTTCATAAATTGTAATATTCCAGCAGCAACCTCATGAAACAATAAATGATATTCTGAGTCACTCATTCACAGCTATGGCTTTTCAATCGGCATTGTATACATTATGCCCGAGGTCCCACTCTTCTTTTTCCTTTTCAAATATAATGACATTTACCCTGCAAAACCCAATTGGCTTGTACTCTTGTTCTGCCTCCTCTGGGTCCTGTATACAGCTAGCTCTACTCCCTGAAGACCATTCCTGTTAAAGGCAAATGGAGTGAAGGAAGACAAGGTTCTCTCAGAAATATATGTCGCTGCTGAGTTTGGCTTCTTTCTCCTTCATGTTGAGAAGTTTCCACAAACTGAGTGATGGAAGGTCTTTGAGGCCACACACTGAGCAAAGACACATCTGTCATGTGCCTTGATCCCTGAGACCTGCCTCTGAACATCTCTTAGGATCCCTTTAGGAAGGTTGTGTCTTCACAGAGTCACAGGAAGGCCAGAAACAAGGAGTAACAGTCCCTATACCTTGGTTGCTGCCTGGCTAGAGCGTCTCATAAACATGTTTAACCTGTCAGAATCTGCCTCCATTTAAGAAGTAAGCCCTCTGCTTATGAAAGTTTAATGCCATATATCTCTGATTTAGTCAGTCTATAAACGTACAGATCTACCCTGTCCTTCTACCTACTATAACCTTACTAACTTGTGAATATGCATTAGGGGTGTGTGAAGCGGGCCCTATTCAATTCAGATTCGGCCTGAATCAGGGACAATTTGATTTGTTGAATTGGATCACTGTCCCTGATTCGATTCAGCTGAATCCAAATCTGAAGATTCGATGCTGATTTGGTGAATCAGTGATTCAGACACAGAGACAGAGCTTTACAAGTTTTTTGTACATACCTTGAGGTAGCAGGTGCGGCTCATGATCACTGTGATCATGGGGTGCATGGAGCATCCCACTGCAACATGGGGGGGGCTCAGCAGGGAACCCAAAAGTGGACTGGAAGTATTTCTGGTCCGCTGCTGGGGAGTGTGCTGGCCCCCCCCCGGCTCAGCATTCGACCGCAGAGGGACCCTAGGTGCCCCCCCAACCCAGGAGGCACCAGGTGCCAAGCCAGAGGGCTCTGCATGCTCCCCAGTGGACCCAGAAGTGGACTGAAAGTGCTTCTGGTCCACTTCCAGGTCTGCTGCCGAGTACGCTGGGGGAGCCCCCCATGCTTCTGTGGGACACTCCATGTGCCCCAGCATCACAGCACTCATGAGCCCCTGCTACCTAGAGGTACGTAGAAAAAAACATTTAAAGCTGTCTCAATGTCTGAATCTCCAAATCTCTCCGAATTGATTCAGAGGGTTCCAATTTGATTTGGAGAGATTAAAGGGTCCTCTGATTCTATTTGGATTCAGAGATTTGGCTACTGCATCGGGCCGAATCTCCACTGAATTGAATCAGGGGCCGAAGCTTCGCAGAGCCCTAATATACATGGGCAGTCCTTAGAGTAGTTCTGCTGTTCGTCCCTTAGTACTGGCTTTACAGACTAATTCCAGCTCTCCACAAAACTAACATTCAGTAACAGGCATAGGTACCTGGTAAGAATACAGTGCAAGATTATAAAATGTTTTGGGATTATTTGGAAAGCAAGGTGTATTTAACATGAAAAACATGATCAGCAAGTCAAAAAGAATCCTAAAATGGAAGGACTGTTTTTAATACGTTCCATTTGCTTGAGAAAAAGCTCACAGCCAAGTTCACGTAGACTGCTTATTTCCACATTCTTCCAGTCGTAATTAAATTAATTTACTTTGCATATCACTGCAGTCTGCAAACAAAGAAACGTCCCGAGATTGGTATATACTAGTACAATAAATGTGGTGTTTGGAGGGAATCACATTGAAGAAGGTGATGAGGAAACTGTGCCATATTTCCCACTAGAAAAGGTATTTTTGTCTGCACTAGTTTTCTCTTTTTATTGACTTACTCTATTGTTGCTGGAAAAAAATGGAAACAAAAGTAAAAAGTTTTTTTTTTATAGTTTTATAGGCACTACTTCAAACCATAGTGCATCCTTATTTTAAGTACTGTAATTGTTTGTTTATATTAATTTGCTGACTATCAAGGCCCTGATCTAAAAAATAAATTCTGTGTAGGCTTTTATGCTTATGCAAAGTCCAATGAGAGTTCATGCAATTCAGTTCTACCTGCATATAAAGAACCACTTGCAGATTGGGACCCAAATGAGCATGTATATTCATCATTACTTAAACACCTCTTGTGTGCCTTGACTCTTGTCAAAGACAATTTCTATTTAAAGATAATACTGATATTGAGAACCTACTCATTTGATGTGAAATTGTTGCATCTAAGAAGAATGTGCTCATTATCAATTCATATGATTTTTTTCCAGTTTTCTCATCTTCCTCTTTTAATGACAGTACTTTATTATATATACTAAAATACAGTACTGAAATACTCTACTATATATACTGAAATATCTAGCTACCATAAATTTTCAGACACAAATATTTTTAATAATGTGTTTCTAAGTAACTGGAAAAAACATATCTGTATTAAACTAAATTTGCACTGCAGGAAAAGCAGTCACCAAAATTCATACCTAATCATTCACTCTTCAGTATTTTGCTTCTGTGTCTCTTCTGTTATCCCAGAAATAAATTTAAAAAACAAAATATAATCAGTTATATTCTAATCACCATTAAGAAATATTTGTATATTGTTAAAAGTCTAAAAAAAAGTCTGTAAATGGGCTACAATCAGTAACTGGAAATCCAAATTTATATAGACAAAAATGCTAACTTTCCATAAAAAATAATTTTGACATTTTACTCTAAACAATTATCCTACAACTTCTTAATTTTGAGAAAATATTTGTTGATAGTAAGGAGCAAATCAGACAAAGGTATTTGTTCAGTTTGTCATTTGCAGATTGTGTTGAAGTAATTAAATTTAAAAAATCATAATTGCTCTCTCTCTCTAGCATATTGACCATTATTCCAAGACCAAATCAATTGCAGACCAAATGGTACTAGCAGCTAATGCAAGTCTACTCTCAGGTACTCTATTTCTTAATGTCACTTAACTTTGTCCATTAAAAACACAGTAGGATTTATTCCTTCTCCTGATACTGTATCTAATTAACATCTTCAGCTTGTGTGTTCATTCTTCAAGATACTTCACAGATTTTTAGAAAAACAGAATGATTCCAAGAAATTAAAACTTTCTCCGTAAAAAATGTAAGAATATTTACAGCTTTCCCCACACTCACAAAAACTTTTAATGTACTAGCACTGTGTTCCTTTTTTTACTTCAAAGAAATAAAAGAATTTAAAAATACCAAATCTTATTTAAGTGACTTGTCTTGAAGGTAGTGTACAATATAAGTAAATATGAATCCTGATTAAATCATTAGTTCCTTAAAGATATATATATTAGACTTTGTAAAAGGCACATGATACATTAGCCTGGAATTATTTATTAGTCCTTCCCACAGTTTTCCATGTTGCCAGAGTCAGTTATACACTTGAATACTTAAGTTCACCTGTGAGATACTATACTGCTAGTGCAATACAAATTAATGTAAAGTGCAACATGATACTGTGTGACCAGATGCTACTGTGTTAAATTTAGCTGTGGACAATTTACAGGAAAGACTTTCTTCACTTGATACTTGCAAAGTACTGCAAAGTGGCTAATATCATGTCAGGAATGTGAATTTCATGCCAGGAGGATTATTTTCTTACAAACTAAATTATGTTGTAGATTATGTCTTGTTTTTTTCCAACTTTTGCCCACAGCTCTTTATAACAAGAATATTACATTCTTAGGATTAGCTTCTAGCTCCATATTCATAAAAGAAGCACTGTATGTATTTGAATCCAAGACAAGGTATTTTGCCCCATTCAGCATGGGAATAAAAGCCCCTTATATTGGAAGGAAAGGCAGCAGTGGCTGAGGATGGTGAGGAGGCAAGTGGTATGGGGGATAGGTACCAAGGGCTACAGGCATCATGGGAGGTAGGTGCCATGGGGTACAGGCAAGAGGAGGGGGCAAATAGGGAAGGCAGATTTCAGCGGGGGGCAGTTGCCAGTGTGTGCAGGTAGCATGAGTGTGGGGAGGCAAATGGAGGGGGAAGACAGGGGGCAGGGAGCA